CCCCTACAGATCTATGCCAATGGGAAGAACATTGGCGGTTCACCAGCTTCAGGAAGCAAAGGCCCCCCGACCTTGACACCAGCAACAATGCTGTGGATCTGCTGTTCTTCACAGATGGAGTCAGAGACGCGGAGCCTGGAAGCTGTCTTCACCACCCAGTAAGGCTCCTGGGGGCCTCCCTCAGCCAGCAATGGAGAAAAAGTGGGAAGAAGAGAAGGAAGAGGGCAGGTGGCTCTCAAATAAATACGCCCTCTGGTCTCCCCAATAGTCATCAAGTGTCCCCAGCCCAAGACCCTAGGCGAGTTCCTCATCCAGAACCTGCAGCCTCAGTACCAATTCCGTGACTACTTCGTGCTGCCTGCAAGCTAGGCTACCAGCTCATAGAGGTAAGAGCCCAGGCTGAGGGAGAGAGCCGGCCCGGCATCAGGGGAATTCAGATGGTGTGTTCACAGAGGATTTAGTCTCACCTCAGCTGGAGTCATAGACGTTTCAGCTGGAAGAGTCTCCTGGTCCACCAGCTCTCAAACTTGCTGCACACTTAAAGCAGGTTCACGATCCTGGAAGATTGCTTGAGCTGTCCCATACAAGGCTGAATAGCCACTGCACTCCAGCTGGAGCAATATAGCCAGACTCTGTCTCTAAAAAATAAAAATCAATCAATCAGCCTACTACAGTCAAGGCCCCAGCTTAGACTCTCATTCATTGATCTGAGTAGAGTCTGAGCAACAAGACTATTTAAAACTACCCAGGTGATTCTAGTACAGCCAAGTTTAGAACTATTGCCTCGTCAATAATCAAAGAAAACTGAAGGGAACTGGAAGGCAGGGTGGAAATGCAGTGACTCATCAACATCACATAGTGATTTTCTACAGCAGGGACTAGGACCCCAATCTCACCTCCTGCTCCAGGGCTCTTTGCATGTTGGTGGTCTCACCCTGGGCCCACCATCGTGTCCTCAGATCTGAAGATTCAGGAAGGAATATGGTTTTATCCATGAGTCAATCTCATAAAGCTATTAAACTAAAAATTCTCTATCTCTCTGGACAGGGCCCAAGACTGGACATCCCTTCGTTCCTCCAATGAGTCCACACAGAAGACAATCAGAATCAAAGAAAGAGATCTATGACATGTCCTTAAGCCATAGTTAAAATTCATTTTAATGCACATTTTAAGGGTCTACTGTCAGGCACTGTATCCTAGATGTGGGAAGTTCAGTAAAAGAAACCCACATAGTCACATTTGTGGAGAGTTCACATTTGAATGTTGCATCAAGTCAAGTTCATCTGATGCATTGTTCTTTACTCCAAGGTGCTTCCATCTCCATCAGGAGAATTGGGTGGGTGTCCTGGGTCCAGAGGACTGGGAGACTAACAACCTCTTTGCTCATGTTACAACCCTCCCTTGCCTGCCACTACTGCCCTTACTTTTGCGTTTGTCGTTCATGTCCATAGAATTTAAAGCAAGTCACACCCCGTTTCTCACATTACCTACATTTTACTCAGGCCAGGTCTAGTTCTCACACACATTCTTTTGCAGCCAGGGCTAACTCTATGGGATGATTTTTTTGGTGCTGGGTTTATTTTGTTTCTGAGACAGAGTCTTGCTCTGTCCCAGGTAATTAGCATGATCTCAGCTCACTGTGAACTCTGCCTCCCAGGTTCAAGCGATGCTCCTGGATTAAAGCTACTCAGGTACACCAGCCACCGGGGTTGCCAGATTACAGGCAAGTGCCACCGTGCCCGGCTAATTTTTGTATTTTTAGTAGAGATAGGAGTTTCTAATTTTCCCCAGACTTGACTCAAACTTCTGGCGTCAAGTGATCCACCTGCCTCAGCCCCCTGAGTGCTGGGATTACAAGGCGTAAGCCCTGCATTTGGCCAATTTTTGGTCTTAGTAAAACTCATTCATATTGTCCAGTAACTTTTCATTTCAAAGACTGCCATTTCTAGTCTTGTCCCTGCTCAACAACAACAACCCACTTCACATACATCAACATCTCCAGCACCTTTCAGCAGGTAAGGTGGCTCTAGGATTTCAGGAAGGCCTCTGTCCTTAGGAAAACTGCAGCGGGAGAGAGAAAGTGCTGCGGGCCTGGAGACAGGGGATTCCAGCCAGAGAAACATGGTTCTGCCCTGGAGCACAGGCTTTTGTTTGATACAGAAAACACTCAAGCGTGGCTTGTGATTTTAAATTCTAGGTGTGGGATTCAATTGGACCTCGGTAGGAACAGGCCACAGTCAAGAGAGAGGATGATCAGGTCTATCAATTAGTCCCACTGTGACTTGCTGTGGGTATGGCTCAGTGCTCCTGTCTATAACAGGCTGGTGAGAAGGAAGAAGGAGCCACATCCATGGGGGAAGCTGAGATGTCTTTGTGTGCCTCCCACTCCTGTGTGGAAGGGCAGAAGGGACCTGCATTGCCTCTTGGCACTGATGGCACCTGTTCCTCTGCTCAACAGGGGAACCAGGTGCTGCACTCCTTCACAGCTGTCTGCCAGGATGATGGCACATGGCATCGTGCCATGCCCAGATGCAACAGTAAGTCACAGATTCAGGGATATGATCTGGGGACTTCCCACCTCAACCTTGAGGACCTGGGCCGAAAGAAGGAGGGAGTCCAGATAGCCCTCTTTCCAGCAGACCCTCACCTTGGAGAGGGTCAAAGAGACTTGTCCTTTGATGCCTATGGCCCATCTCAGGAATCAGTGAGCCCTGGAAATCCTCAGGAATCAGTGAGTCCTCATCTCAATGGGATGGATGGGCTCTACCCAGGGCAATTCACACCACCCAACTCCTGTCCACTGTAAGGAGCCCTCCTGTCCATTGTGAGGCCCTCGCCACTGACTGTCTTTTCTAAGCCTCTCAACGTGCTCCGCAGAGTAGACAACTCACACTCCCCCACTGAAGTTCCAGTCTTTCTCAGCTCTCACCCACTAACATGTGTTCTCTCAAGTCAGGACTGTAGGCAGCCCCCGAAATCTACCTTCCATTACACCACCACAATCGGGGTGAATACCTACAAGGCCCATATCCAGTACTACTGCCACAAGCCATATTACAAGATGCAGACCAGAGCTGGCAGCAGGGTGCAGGCAAAGTAGAGACCAACGCAAATGGAAATTTTCTCCTTCCATCACATTGGGATATCCTCTGAGATTTCTCCCAGTAGAATCTAGGAATGCATATTAAAGGTATCTGCCAGGGCACTGGCCCCAGGGAGCCTAGTTGTAGTGCAAGAGAAGCTAGTAGGTTTGAAGAAGGAGGAGCTCATGCAAAGAAAGATTCAAATCACATAGACAGCTCACCACCACATTATCCCACTACCACCACTGCCTCCACCACACTCCCTGCTACCATCATTTGCCATCACCACCACTACCAGTAACTTGCAGCAGCACTGCCAATAGCATCAATGCCAGCACAGTCCATGTGCCATCACCACAATCGATACCATTACCATTACCAACACCACCATCACCACTACCATTATTACCACCATCACCACCATCACCACTATCATCATAACCAACACCATTATCCCAGCACTGCCATGATCCACCCACCACCATTACCAACACCACTATCACCACCACCACCATTGCCAACACCAACACTACCATCACCACCACCATTACCATCACCACCACCATTACCACTGTCACCATTACCAACACCATCATCACCACCAGCCACCACCATCACCATTAACACCATTAACAATACCACCATTAACAACACCACTGTCATCATCAACATTGACATCACAATTGCCACCGCCATTACCAACATCAACACCACCATCACCACCAACACCGACACCACAGTCTTTGCCACCATCATGACCACTACAGCTAACTCAATTGAAACTCCCCTCTCCATTCTCCCCTCTAAACCTGGTTGTGATTTTTGCATAGATTTTACTAAATGACTCTCACTCCCATTGGTGGGTATTTTTCAAACTTTTTCAGTATTAGGGAAATCACATGCAATGATAGTGTTGGTAATGGTGATGGTTGTAATGGTGGTGGTGGTGATGTTGGTGATGGTAATGGTGGTGTTGGTGTTGGTAATGGTGGTGGTGCTGATAGTGGTGTTGGTAACGGTGTTAGTAATGGTGGTGGTTATAATGGTAGTTGTGATGGTGGTATTCGTAATGGTGATAGTGATGATGGTGGTGGTGTTAGTGTGGTGGTGATAGTGGTGTTGGTAATGGTGATGGTAGTGTTGGTGTTGGCAATGGTGGTGGTGGTGATAGTGGTGTTGGTAATGGTGGTGGTGATCATGGTAGTGTTGACAATGGTGTTGATTATGATGATGGTGGTGATGGTGGTGTTAGTGTTGGTGGTGATGATGATGTTGGTAATGGTGATGGTGGTGATGATGGTGTTGGTGGTGGTGGTGGTGTTGGTGTTGGTAATGGTCATGGTGATAGTGGTGTTGTTGGTGTGGTGGTGGTGATAATGGTAGTGGTGATGGTGGCATTGGTAATGATAATTATGCTCGATTGGTGATGGCGATGATGGTGGTGATTGTGCTGGCATTGATGCTACTGGTAGTGTTGCTGAGGAGTATTTGTTACTATTAGTAGTGGCGATGGCAGTGATGGTAGCAGTTGATAATTGTATCGATTGTGGTGATGGCGATGATGGTGGTGATTGTGCTGGCATTGATGCTACTGGTAGTGTTGCTGGTGTTGTTACTAGTAGTAGTGGCGATGGCAGTGATGGTAGCAGTGGGAGTGTGGTGGAGGCAATGGTGGTAGTGGGGACGATGTGGTGACAGTGAGCTGTTTATGCGATTTGAATCTTTTCTTTGCATCAGCTCAGATGCCTCCTTCTTCAAACTTAAAAGGTTCCTGTTAGCACTATAATTTAGGCCCCTGTAGCCAGTGTCCTGGCAGATACCTTAATATGCATTCCCTAGGGATTCTACTGGGAGAAATCTCAGAGGATACCCCAAGGGGATGGAAGGGAGGAAATTTCCATCTCCATTGGTTCCTACCTTGCTCAGACTCCTTGCTGCCAGCTCTGGTCTGCATCTTGTAATATGGCTCGTGGCAGTAGTACTGGATACGTGCCTTATAGGTGTTCACCCCCATTGTGGTGGTGTAACGGAAGGCACCATTAGGCAGGTTTCGGGGCTGCCCACAGTCCTTGACTTGGAGAGAACACAGGGCAGGGTGAGAGCTGAGAATGACTATGCTGGAACTTCAGTGTGGGGAGTGTGAGTTGTCCACCCGCAGAGCAGGCTGAGAAGCTTAGAAAAGATAGTCAGTGGAGAGGGCCCTTGCAATGGACAGGAGTTGGGTGGTGTGAAATTCAGTTCTGGGTAGAGCCCATCCATCCTGCTGAGATGAGGGCTCATTGATTCCTGAGATGAGGGCTCACTGATTCCTGAGATGGGCCATAGGCATCAAAGGACAAGTCAGGGTGAGGGTCTCTTGGAAAGAGGCTTACTCTGGATGCCTCTTTCTTTCTTGGCCCAGGTCCTCAAGGCTGGAGGTGGGAAGTCCCCAGGGTCATATCCCTGAATTATGACTTACTCTTGCATCTGGGCATGGCACGATGCCATGTGCCATCATCCTGGCAGACAGCTGTGAAAGAGTGCAGCACTTGGTTCCCCTGTTGAGCAGAAGACAGAGGTGTCATCAGTGCCAAGAGGCAATGCAGGTCCCCTTGCTGCCCTTCCCACATAGGAGTAGAAGGCAATACAAAGACATCTCTCAGCTCCCTGATGACTGTGGCTCCCCCATGGATGTGACTCCTTCTTCCTTCTCCCCAGCCCATTGCAGACAGGAGCACTGAGCCACCCCGCAGCAAGTCAGAGCGGGACTAATTGATAGACCTGATCATCCTCTCTCTAGACTGTGGCCTGTTCCCACTGAGGTCCAATTGAATCCCACAATTTGTAATTAAAAACATCACAAGCCATGTTTGAGTGTTTTTTGTATCAAAACAAAATCCTGTGCTCCAGGGCAGAACCATGTTTCTCTGGCTGGAGTCCCCTGCCTCCAGGCCTGCAGCACTTTCTCTCTCCTGGGTTGCAGTTTTCCTAAGGACAGAGGTCTTCCCTGAAATCCTAGAGCCACCTCACTCCTTTGAACGGTGCTGGAGACGTTGATGTATGTGAAGTGCTGTTGCTGTTGAGCAGGGACAAGACTAGGAAATGGCAGTCTTTGAAATGAAAAGTTACTGGACAATATGAATGAGTTTTACTAAGACCAAAAATCGGCCAGGTGCAGTGGCTCATGCCTGTATCCCAGCACTTCCGGGGGCCGAGATGGGTGGATCACTTGAGGCCAGGAGTTTGAGACAAGCCTGGGCAACATGGAGAAACCCTGTCTCTACTAAAAATACAAAAATTAGCCAGGCATGGTGGCACACGCCTGTAATTCCAACAACTCAGGTGGCTGAGGCACTTGAATAGCTTGAATCCAAGAGAATCACTTGAAATTGGGAGGCGGAGTTTACAGTGAGCTGAGATCATGCCACTGCCTGGGTGACAGAGCAAGACTGTCTCTCAAAACCAAAACAAAAAGACCAAAAATCATTCTATAGAGTTAGCCCTGGGAAAGATTGCAAGAGAATGTGTATGCGAACTAGACCGTCTGAGTAAAATGTAGGTAATGTGAGAAACGGTGTGACTTGCTTTAAATTCTATGATGTGAATCACAAATGCAAAAGTAAGGGCAGTGGGTGGTGCAGGCAAGGGAGGATTGTAATATGAGCAAAGAGGTTGTTGGTCTCCAGTCCTCTGGACCCAGGACACCCACCCAATCCTCCTGATGGAGATGGAAGCACCTTGGAATAAAGAACAATGCATCAGGTGAACTCGACTTGATGCAACATTCAAATGTGAGCTCCACAAAGGCTGTGTGACTTTGTGGGTTTCTTTTTACTGAACCTCCCACATCTAGGACAGTGCCTGACAGTAGACCCTTAAAATGTGCATTAAATGAATTAACTATGGCTTAAGGACATGTCATAGATCTCTTCTTTGATTCTGATTGTCTTCTGTGTGGACCTATTGAGCAACGAAGGGATGTCCAGTCTTGGGTCTCTGTCCAGAGAGACAGATAATTTTTAGTTTACCAGCTTTTGTGAGATTGATCCATGGATAAAATCATATTCCTTGCTGAATCTGCAGAGCTGAGGACAGGACGGTGGGCCCAGGGTGAGACCACCCACATGTGTAAAAGAGCCCTGGAGCAGGAGGCAGGAGATTGGGGTCCTAGTCCCTGCCGTAGAAAATCACTATGTGATGTTGACGAGTCACTACATTTCCACCCTGCCTTTCCAGTTCCTTCAGCTTTCTTGATTATTGGACGAGGGCAATAGTTCTTAAACTTGGCTGCACGTTAGAATCACCTGGGTAGCTTTAAATAGTCTTGTTGCTCAGACTCTACTCCAGATCAATGGAATGAGAGTCTCTGCTGGGGACCCTTGACTTCAGTATTTATTGATTGATTTTTGTTTTTTAGAGACAGAGTCTGGCTATATTGCTCCAGCTGGAGTGCAGTGGCTATTCACAGGAGCCTTGTATGATTGGGTTCAAGCAATCTTCCAGAATTGTAAACTCTCTGTTTTAAGTGTGCAGCAAGTTTGAGAGCTGGTGGACCAGGAGACTCTTCCAGCTGAAACGTCTATGACTCCAGCTGAGGTGAGACTAAATCCTCTGTGAACACACCATCTGAATTCCCCCTGGGATGCTGGGCCAGCTCTCTCCCCTCAGCCCTGGGCTCTTACCTCTATGAGCTGGTAGCCTAGCTTGCAGGTAGCAATGAAGTAGTCACGGAATTGGTACTGAGGCTGCAGGTTCTGGATGACGGTGAACTCGTCTAGGGTCTTGGGCTGGGGACACTTGATGACTATTGGGGAGACCAGAGGGCGTATTTATTTGAGAGCCACCTGCCCTTCCTTCTTCCCACTTTTTCCCCATTGCTGGCCATCAAAGGAGGCCCCCGGGGAGTCTTACTCTCGGTGGTGTAGCGCAGCTTCCAGCCCCGGCTGTCCCCTGACTCATCTGTGAAGAACAGCAGATCCACAGCATTGCTGCTGGTGTCAAGGTCGGGGGGCCTTTGCTTCCCACAGAACTCGCCAATGTTCTTCCCGTTGGCATAGATCTGGTAGGGGAGGAGGGTTTTTGTTTTTGTTTTTGTTTTTTTCCAGCTGGGACATTTTTACACAGGGCCAACTGTGTAGTAGCCTGGTGGCCAGGGTGGTGGTGGTGATGAAATCCTGCCTTATGCGTGTTTTCAGGGGAAGGTGGAAAGAGATCCCCACGACCCAATTCCAGTTGTATGGGAACTTGCCCAGCCCGTGGTTGATGTTGGCCATTCCTGCCCCAGCAGGCCAGGGGATCCAGGAGGAAGTTGGGACAAGAGGAGCCAAGTGCAGACGGAAGAGGAGGAAGGGGTCTTTCAGGGGTAGGACGGCTGTACCTGTAGCTGGTCATAGGGGCAGTGTACTTGCTGGTGGTCATCAATTTCAAAAGGCTCTAGGAACTTGAGGTGCAGGGTGAGGCCCCGCTCCACCCGGATGCTGTAGTTGCAGCGCAGGTCAGGGGGGTAGGACCGGGGGTACTCCAGGCTGGAGATGTAGCCTGATGCCTCCGTGTACAGCTCGCTGCTGCACTCAGCTGTGAGAGCAGAGCCGCAGGGCATCACGGGGGCACTCTGACTGGCCCAGCAAGCCCTGGCTGAACCCCTGCCTCCCTGCTCCACCACTCTGGCTGGCTGAACACCCCTGCCTCCCTGCTCCACCACTCCAGCTGGCTGGAACCCCCTGCCTCCCTGCTCCACCACTCTGGGCTGGCTGAACTCCCTGCCTCCCTTGCTCCACCACCTGGCTCTACTGGCAGGAATGCCTGTCCTTCTGACCTGGCAGTCGGATGCAGGAAACAGAAGTAGCCTCCCAACGCAGTTGTGACACAGGTGCTGGCACTGGGGCTGGGCTGTTTCTCCCCTGATTTGCTCTGGGAAGCACATTCATCAAGGTCTGGAAGGCATTCAGGAAGGAGGGTTAAGCTCCTGCTGGGAGACCAGAGTAGTGGCTCTGATCTTAGGGAGGTCACTCACCAGAGGCCTAAAGACAAAGGCATCTTTAGGCCACCTGGACCTCCAGGCCAGGCCTCTCCAATGCTCTCTAGGGACTGCTCCACAGGGACAGATCCCAGGTTGACAGGCCTCGTTAGGAAAAGCTCTCTTGAGGGGAGGAACAAGGAAAGCCAGGCTTTCAGCTTCTTTGGATTCAAGATTCCCTTTCTTGGCCTCCATTCAATGTGGCTGAGGTCAGAGAAAAGGGATCCCTGGGGGGCTACTCACCCACAGCTTGGTAGTAGGCCAGGAAGCCCTTGTAGAACATGATGGTCCCATTCTCCTCATTGGAGGAGTCTGTGTGGAAGGTCAGCAGCATCTTGTTCCCTTGAGACAAAAATTCCTTTTTTCCTGGGGGGTTGCCCAGTGGAGAACCCAGTTGCCCACAGAACCTCCCCAGGTTTTTCTTATCAGCAGAGATCTGGTGGAAGAAGGACAAGGAGTAGGAAGAAGACCTGTTGTGGAGTGGCACACGTGGTGGCTCAGTGATGGTCCTCCTGGTCTCGCCCAGAGTGAATCATGCACCACATCGGCTCTGCTGGTCACTACCTGCTGGGTTCAGCTACTGCAAACTTCCCCATGTGACCTTCAACTGTTCCCCAAGTCTCCCACTGACTCACTCTTTGCGTGTTGTCCTGCACTGGGTACCTCAACCCTTCCCTGTTTTCTGCTCCTCTGGCAGGTTTCAGGTCATTCTCCATCCCCACCTCCTGTGGCCTGTTCCTCTGGGGTCCTGGTTGTCTGTACCCAGCCTTTCCCCTCCCCTCATTCCTTGAGCCCAGAGATGTCTACTTTATTTTCTGCCTTCCGATTCCACCTAGGCTTAATGAAACCATTCACACCTTGAGTGCCTCCTTATGCCCTTGACTGAACATGAGCCCTGAAGCCCACCAGTCTCAGTGTCAGGAGGCATGGCCTTGTCCCTCTTCCATCCTCCTCAAAGCCTCCTCAACCTCTTCTTGCCCCTGCCACCAAACACCCTCCCCCAACACTGCACACTCACCAATTCCTCTGGGTGGGGAAGATGTTCCGTTTTCATGTTATGTTGGAGGCCAAAAGAGTGAGGGTGGTGATCAACTCAGTATACCACTGGAGGCTACATGAGTAAACAGCAAACTCTTCTCATAAATGCAGGATGTTCGCAAACTGACACACTGCATCTACCACCCAGAAGGAATGCTGAGGGCAGTCATGCCCCAAGCGTTTCTTTTGATTATCTACAGGGCATATCTGAAGCCTGTTAGAAATAATATGAACCAGCTGGGCACGGTGGCTCACGCCTGTAATCCCAGCACTTTGGGAGGCCGAGGCAGGTGGATCACGAGGTCAGGAGATCGAGACCATCCTGGCTAACACGATGAAACCCCGTCTCTACTAAAAAATACAAAAAATTAGCCATGTGTGGTGGCGGGCACCTGTAGTCCCAGCTGCTGGGGAGGCTGAGGCAGGACAATGGCGTGAACCCAGGAGGCGGAGCTTGCAGTGAGTCGCGACAGAGCAAGACTCTGTCTCAAAAAAAAAAAAAAAAAAAAAAAAATATGAACCTGTGATCAATCAAGCAGCTGACCAATCTTTATCTCCTCCTCCCTGCTCATTCTACCCAACAAATACAAAAGGCTGTGGAAGCTCGGGGGTCTGTGGCCTTTGTTCACTAGAAGCAGGGAGCTCTCTTCTTCTTCCCTTGGTCTCTTTCTTTAAAACAGTTTCTTTTGCCTTAAATTTTCATTTCTATGTTTGTCCTCCTTTGTTCAGTCTCATAATGATGGTCTCAAGTAGTAACATTAGTAACTGTTGTAGTGACTGTCTCAAGTAGTAACTCTCTCAAGTAGTAACTGTGGCAGTCAGCCACAATCTTATTCGTGCATACCTCCTACCTCCAGGGGTCTCCTGGGAATGGTAGTTATTGGACCTTCGCAGGCTCTGCTTGAACCCTGAATCTCATTTTTACTCGATAGAGAAAGATGGGCCAGGGAAGGTACCCTTGGTTGTCACAGAGGTGAGGGTTCTAAGCCTACTGTCCTTGCTGAAGACTATTCCCGTGCTGCCAGAGCACACATTTCTCCTCCTCATGTCCCTGTGTTCCTGTTGAGGCAGGCAGCCATGCCAATCTTCTCCTTGGAGACAGGGAAGCTGAGGCACGGTGGTTTCCCAAAGGCTCTCAGCTAGACAGCAGATGGGGAAGGTTTTCTTGACTCAGTGGACAGTGAATTTCCTGAGTGGGTCCTGTCCCCTTCTCTGTGCTTCTCCCCTCAGTGCTCACTGAGGGCCTCTTCACCAGTGAGTGCCCCGTCCAGGGCAACCCTTGGCTCTAAGAGATGCAGTCGGCCATCAGCTCTTGTGGGGCCGGGCTGTGTCTGGGGGTGTGCATGCCATACAGATCCCAGATCCCAGAGGTTCCCGTTTTGTCTCCCCTCTGCCCGCCCATCCTGCCCCTACCTCAACATAGTCATAGGAGCAGCCTTCAGAAGGCTCCAGGTTGAAGTGCTGGAAGACGAGCTTCACCCTGTATCCTGTGGGGACTGTGATCACAGTGTTTGTTTCAAAGCTGTTGGGGTAAGGCTTGGGGAACAGAGGGAAAGTCACCTCCCCAATAACTTCTGAGGGATGAGAATGGGATCTCTTGGCTTGTGGAACAGGGTTGAGGCCAGGAGGTATAAGAGCCACCTGCCAAAACAAAAGAGTGTCTGGAGTTGGAGGGGTTCAGCACTCTTGCCATGTGGGCAGTGGCCGTGGCATGGGACGAGATGGCCATACCGCTGGGCATCCTCCTCCTCTCTGCCCACTCTGGACCTCACCGACATGTTCTCAGCAGGGGTGCCTGGGTGGGGAGGGCGGCCTTTGCAGCTGCTGCATTGGGTCACTCCCCAGGGCAGTGTCCAGTCCAGAGGCCACCACACTCCCCTCACACTCCCTTTCCAGCCTCCTCCCCTGCCTGGCCCCATCCCTCCCCTCCCCTTCCAGGAATAGGACTGGCTTGGGACAAGTTAGTGGAGGGTGAGGGTTTCCACCTCTGGGTGTCTGAAAAGGCTCCCACAGGTTCAGTAAGAGCGTCTGGGAGAGACCATCTGTGGAGTGTGGGACACAGGCAGAGTGTCCCCTCCTGGGCAGGGGGTCCCCTCCTCTCGCTGCTCCCTGCTGTGAGCCCAGAGGGAAGAAAGGACCATGGCATGGGCTTCTATGTATAAGGTCTCCTCTGGTTCTTAGGAGGAGGGATGGGGCGTGTGTTGTGTGTGTCCATGTGTGTGCACAGTGGGATTGACGAGAGAAGAGTGTGTGAAGAGAGAAGGGTGTTCCTGTCTCCCTGAATTGCCTCCCATGCCCTGGCTTCTCCCCTGGCTTCCCCCTCCCACCTGGGTGCCCATCACCCTTGCAAGGCCCGTGTTGAATCCTGGGCTCTCCTTCGTGCACTGTGTGCAGAGGGAGCCCGCGTCACACACAGCAGGGAGGGGAGGGTTTTCTGTGGAGTGGAGGGGGGACCATTCCCGGAGGAATGTTGGAGGGAATGAACTATTTGCATAAACAAAAGATCTGAGTTTCCACTTTAATTTAGTTTTGGTTTTGAAATCCCTGTCGGTGGTGCCACCTGCTGGTCTATGAGGGAAAGCGCTAAGGAGACGGGAGTCGGACTTTTTAGGGCCAGGGGAGCCTTTGGTTGGAGGCCCAGATGCTTCAGTCTCTGAATCTGATCAGCTTCTCCTTTCTTCCAAGACTTTCCTGGGGGGCTGCTGCTGTGTTTACAAGGTTCCTACCAAAGCAGTGGGAGACCACAGGTTGTGAGGGATTCTTTTTTCTGGGCTGTCCTTTCCCATGACCCCGTTCTTCTTGCCGTCATTCAGCCCACAGCCCTGGTTCAAGAATGGCCCGGGTTTCCATGCCCAGGATGTAATGATAGGAACACTGGGGCAGAGGAGGGCACGTGGGAGTGGGCAGAAGAGAGAGGAGCTTGGTTGCCTTGGGGTCCTGGCCTGCTTTAGCCGTGAATGACACGTGGACATAGAATAGGGATGGCCATGTCAGGGCAGCCCTAAATCAGCCCTGGGTTTGAGACCCTCTGGGGCAGCTGCGGAGGGAGTAAAATGTCCCCATCTCCTCAGCGTCTGCTCAACACAACTGCCAGGGCTGAAGCCGAGGGTGCGGGTGTGGAGGAAGAGGCACTTGGTTTTTCTGAGATGGAGCCAGGCCCCTGGGAGGGAGGAGGGACCCTAGACTCTCTTGTCCATGAGGCCATAGTGTCCTGCTTTAAAAATTTTGCTCTTGGCCCCGTGTGGTGGCTCGTGCCTGTGATCCTGGCGCTTTGCGAGGCCAGGGTGGGAAGATCTCTTGAGCCCAGGAGTTCAAGACCAGCCTGGGCAACATAGTGAAACCTCGTCTCTACAAGTTAAAACAAATAAAAAACAATTTCACTGTTTTTGGAAGGCTTTCTTCATCAACCCTCCATGGTACCAAATATCTGAGGGCACTTTTCCCCATAGAGGGGCTTGGGTTACAGAGCAGGCCTCTGTGTTCTTAAGCCTTTGTAGGCTGTTCTGCTTGTTTCCCTTATTAGATTAATCCCTCCAACCTCCACCCTTCTACCCCCATCCCCATTCATCCATTTATGGGCTACCTGTTTAATGTGCAAGGCACTTTCCCAGGCAATAGATTGCAAGAATTCACAGAGCTGATGCAGTTCCCCATCAGGCAGTGACCAAGTCATCAGTAGTTAGACAGCAGGCACACAGAAGGTGCAAGATCCACCAACGCTTGGAGGGTTTCTCCAGCAGGCCTGTGTGTCAGAGCTGAGGACTGAACCTAATGGAGGGCTGGTCTGTGATGGGATCAGGATATGAACCATAGCCTTGTTAGGTCAGGAAAGACAAAAGATAGGGGAGAAGGAAAAGGACTAGATCAGAGGACGAGAAGGAAGGGGAATCTCGTGTAACAAACTGCACATTAATATCCTGGCAGCAGCAGTGTTTTTGTGTGTGTGTGTGTGTGTGTGTGTGTGTGTGTGTGTGTATGGACTGTATGTTCATAATGGAGGCAGAGGGAACAGGTAAGGAGGTAAGTGTTAGCTGAAGCTCTTCCATCCATCCTAGGGAGTCTCGGTTCTGCCTTGGCATTGTGCAACATGCTTGGAGAGTGGCGTGAGCCACTGCGCCCAGCCATGAATTTTATCTCAATACAAATTTTTCGAATGGTTGATTTTTCTGGCATGTGTGGCATCTAGGTAGGGAGATATTTTAGGAATAGAGAGCCTGTCTGTATATCCTTAAAACATATGGCACAAAAAGAGAGTTTCCTCTTACTTCAGCCTGTCGGTCTCTCTTCCTCCTTTTCTTTTCCTTTTTTTCTTTTTTCTTTTTTCTTTTTTTTTGAGATAGAGTCTTGCTCAGCCACCCAGGCTGGGTGCAGTGGCGCCATCCTGGCTACTGCAACCTCCGTCTACTAGGTTCAATGGATTCTCCCCTCTCAGCCTCCTGAGTAGCTGAGATTATAGGCACCTGCCATCAAGCCTGGCTAATTTTTGTGTTTTAGTAGTGATGGGGTTTCACCATGGTGGCCAGGCTGGTCTTGAACTCCTGACCTCAGGTGATCTGCCTGCCTCAGCCTCCCAAAGTGCTGGGATTACAGGCGTGAGCCACCGCTTCCAGCCTTTTCCTCCTTTTCTAGTCCATCTCATTAACTTCCTTCATGCTTTTCCTCAGACATGTCTTGACCCCTGAAGAATGAGGAACAAGCTCCCTGCCTCTTCTTTTCTGGGCCTTCTTGACTGCCGTGTTCTTCCCCACCTTCTGCTTCTT